AAAACCTACAGATCCAGATGATCCTCTTGCAGATCAGAACATTAAAGATCGCTACTATGGTATAAATGATCCTGTGGCTGACAAGCTCCTCAAGCGAGCTTCTACAATGCCTCGTCTGGACCCCCCTGATGACAAGACAATTACCACACTGTATGTCGGTGGTCTGGGCGATACTATCACTGAGTCTGACCTTAGGTATGTTCCTATTGTTGCCTCCTTTCTTGTTAGTGATATAACTGTTTCTTTGAGATTGTCAAGAGATTCTTCCAGGTTCGGTCAAAAGTGTATGGGCAGTAATAGATACCAGCATACATAATTTGCTTCTCAAGGCTTCATTTTTTTAGCCTTTATGTACATTTGATAGCTATTAATTTTTTTTATGGCATTCTCATGCTTGAGTCGATGCAAGAAATTCTATATCCCACCCTTGATTTTTTTCCCCATATAATAAACTGGCACATCTCTGAGTCAATATAGAATGTTTTTTTTTTTTGAGAAGATGTTTCTCATTTTTACATGTCTTCTTGTTCACAAATAATACAAGCCAATAGTGGCAATGAGAAGGGGTGCCAAATGAAGGCTTTTTAAATAAGAGCAGTTAAAGTTATGTCAGCATCTTGCTATTCTGTTTACTAATGTTTCTTTGGCAATATTAGCAAATTATAAATGATTGTACTATATATAAATAAAAATGTAAATGTTCGTTTGTTCAAAATCTTAAATCTCCGAAAGTTCTTCACCGATTGCTTTGAAATTTTGACACAACGTTGCATTCGAATACGCACGTGTTTTTATACCTACTATTATATAGAGTCACACCTGTGACAGGTAAAACATGCTTTTTTTGAAAAACAGCGCCGTCTGTTGGACGTAAAAGCAACACACGCTAGATTGTGAAATTAAACATATTACAAACGTGCGCTTTCTCCTTTCTTTTCCATTTAACCAGACTGAGCCACAGCAACGCGTGGCCGGGTACAGCTAGTATACATATATTTATAGTAACAAGGGCTCTTACGAATTGTTTCAGATTGAAGATTTTTTTTAGAATTTTAAATAGCATTAAAATATATAATTAATTGGCGAACTGTTTAGAGGCAAACTTTCTTTATTGGCTATAAAACCAATTCAGTTTGGTGTGACATAGGTTGTGTGAGAGACCATGTGTTACAGTGTCAGAATGTTTCCTCTTCAGGAATCACTTCTATCAGTTTGGTGAGATTCGGACAATAACAGTGGTCCAGAGGCAGCAGTGTGCATTTATCCAGTTTGCTACCCGACAAGCTGCTGAAGTAGCAGCAGAAAAATCCTTCAACAAACTCATTGTGAATGGTCGCAGGCTTAATGTGAAGTGGGGCAGGTAAGTAGTCGGGGGGGGGGGGGAAGGGAAAGCAATATACATTTTTATTCCACTCTTTCCTCCAGTACAGTTCTTAACTTTGAAGTTCAGTATGTCTAACTTGCCAATCGATCATAATTATGGCATCTTTTCCTGGATCTCAGATCTCAAGCAGCGAGGGGGAAAGAGAAGGAACGAGAAGGGATTACAGAATCTGGTCTAAAACTGGAACCAGTTCCTGGTCTACCTGGAGGTAAGGCAAGGCAGTTGTCTTCTGCCAAAACCATTATGACAGCCTTAGCAAAGGGAAATGCAGATGAATTTGTTTTTCTTGATCTAACCTTCGAAGGCAATTATGTCCCCGAAAGGGACTGAAAGAAGTAGAACTTCTTGAGTTCTGTTTAATTATAAATTGAATAAAGAATTAGAACAAGTCTGTGAATGAAAAGGCCTGGATTGATATTTGAAGGCTATTGTTTTAGTTCTTGGAGAGGTGTAAAGAGCCAGGGTTATATTCAAGTGCTTTTGATACTTCAACCTTTTTTATTTATTTTAGTGCTTCTGAAACTTTTCAAGAGATACAGGTTGCTTATTACAAATAAGGGCTTTTCATAACAACAGGTCTGTGAAGTAGTCTGGGATGAGAGAGTGACTACTGCTTCAGTGCAGTGCCTCTCCATCTCCTAATCCATGTTGAATCCCTAGAAAATAATGAAGATGTTGTGAGGTTCTTGATGTTCTCTGAGCTTGGATGTTTGTTTGCAGATATTTCATTATACAACTAAATAGCATCATCACTGTCAGTGTGAAGTTTGCTGGCAGGGCAAACTACTACTCATAAACAGACAGGAAACCCCACATTTAATCACACTGATGATGCTACATAGTAGTAGGGTATCGAAACATCTGCAAGCAACCAAGATTCAGGGACTAGCAATAGTTCCACAGCTCAACCCTGAGCTTATAACTATTCTCTTCTATTGGAATGAAGACACTGTTGTGAAAACAGATTGAAGTGATACTTTCGTGACATAATTTGTTCAGACGTGTGGCTACTGTGGTCGCTGGAAAAAGTTCTAACAACCGAAATGTTATGCCCTGCAGCTCTTCCACCTCCTCCTGCAGCAGACGAGGAAGCGGCTTCTGCAAACTATTTCAATCTATCTCCTAGTGGCCCTCCAGCTGTTGTAAACATTGCCCTTCCGCCACCTCCTGGCATCGCGCCACCGCCACCCCCAGGTAATTATTACTTCTGACCCCAGAGAAACAGATGCTTCAGTACCGTTCTTTAAATGAATAGAGTAGCACAGTGGTGGCGAACCTATGGCATGCGTGCCAGAGGGGGCACTCAGAGCCCTCTCTGTGAGCCCCAGCCCCGCCTTCCCCCATGGCCTCCTCCTCACCAGCAGCCCCCCCCGGAAGACGACTCGCCCCCAGATGCGGCCCGTGCAGAGCAGAGCAGCCAAGGACATGGCAGCCGGGCAGCAGGGACAACACTCCGCCCTCACATCCCGTTGTGTGCAGACAATGCTGTGGGGCGCGGGCGGAGGGCGTGGCTGCCATGGCGCTGCTGGGCCGTCTGGACGCGGGCCGTGGAGGTGGTGGGTGGCCCTGCGGGCAGGTGGATCAGGTGAGCAACGGGGGGGCGGTTTTGGGGCACTCGTTCTCTAAAAGGTCACTGGAGTAGCATATTCCATTGCCTGAGCATCTTCAGAAACTTGTAAAGAGTGGGGGACAGGAATATCACTTTAAAAAAATCTGCTACTTCAGCAGCACTTTTTGCTTTTTTCATTTCTAACCTTTGCAAAACAAACCCAGGGGATAAGGAAATAGTTGGTCAAAATTATTTTTTCGCTAGAAGATTTTCAGATTGATTGTAAAAAAAGAAATCCTTGGTTCAGTGTACTCTACCATATAAATCTATACAGGTAGTCCTTGACTTACAACCATTCGTTTAGTGACCGTTCAAATGTATGGCACTGAAGACTTGTGACTATTTTTCACACTTATGACAGTTGTAGCATCCCCAGGGTCAAGTGATCAAAATTCAGATGCTTGGCAACTGGCATGTGTTTGTGACGGTTTGCAGTGTCCCGGGGTCATGTGATCACCTTTTTGTCACCTTCTGACAGGCAAAGTCAATGGGGAAGATGGATTCACTTTACAAACAAGTTACTAACTTAAAAACTGCAGTGATTCATTTAACTATGGTAGGGTCGTAAAATGGGGCAAAACTCACTTAACAAATGTTGTGCTTAACAACCGAAATTTTGGGCTCAGTTGTGGTCGTAAGTCGAGGACTGCCTGTATATAATTGCCACCACCATAATTCTTTTTTAAAAATACATTTGCGATGCTTTGTTTTGAAAAGAATTTAGTTTCGAATTTGTGAATTATAAATCATGCAAAAACCTTCAGGCAATGTGCACTTGAAATACCATAAAACTAAAAGCAAAAATGCAGCTAACTAACGGCAGCTAAATAAAAATATGTTAAGGGTAAATAAAAATATTATTAAATCCAATCATTTCAGCACATTCCAGAGGAGCTGTTAAGTCTTGCCTTTATTTGCAGAAATCTTGCTTTTATATGGGAAATGAATTGTCCATAATCTTTTTTTTTTTTTTATCCTGCAGGATTTGGGCCACACATGTTCCATGCGATGGGACCTCCACCTCCTTTTATGAGGGCTCCAGGCCCCATACATTATCCTTCTCAAGATCCACAAAGAATGGGTGCACATGCGGGAAAACACAGCAATCCTTAACCCCACTGACTCCTTTCTTATTTTTCTTTGGACAAGACATTTAAATTTGTGGCATATCACAGTTACAATAAATCTCCCTTGTTTCTGTGCACCCAGCACAGATTTAATCTTATTGTGTTTCACAGCAACAAAAACTGATCCCCTGTATAATAACCAAAATTCTTAACTGGGGGGGGGAGGAAAGAGTGGTTTCTGTTTAAAAAGAAAAGAAATAAAAGAAGAAGCATAACTATGAATTTTGTTTAAAAAAACCACAATTTTGCTAGAGTTACAAGCACCATAAATTCCATTTTGCACACCCTTGATAAGTCTTTTGACTTATTGTTATTTTAAGTCTGCTTACCGCCAGCCAGTTAACAGTGGAATTGACCCAAGCCTGTTCAGGTCTCGGTCACACCTTCACAGCTCAGTTACTCTTATCACTGTTGAAATTAGCTCCAGATTCCTCCTTGCACTGAGCTGGATTGGCATAACGTGGAAAGTCTCAGCAGACTCCCTTGAAGATCATGCAGATGGTGTGCCACTTTGTATCAAAGCTGTTTCTGTCATTCATGATCCTGGCTGTAATACATGCTATCAAAATGTTGAGACAGCAGTTCTGCATGCTTGCTAATCCTCTTGTTACAGAGGAAACGACCTGAGGTAAAAGTTCCACGGCCTTAATTTGCTTCCCTAGCCTGTCTGGTTTATTCCTTAATCTAATGTTTGATTATTGATGGTTGTTTTAGATATGTGTTTCATTATTTACTTTGCACCATCTTTCTTGGTCCTTGGTCTGTAATGTGTCTTAGTAAAGAAAATCATATTTTTTACCTATTCTCAAGTTTCATTATTTTTTTTTTAAAGAAAATATTCCTAATTGGTTTTCTCAGTGATGTTTGAACCTAGCCTTTAGTTTGTTTATTTGTTAAATTTGCTGCCTATCTTGCCATGAGGTAACTATGTGGCTTACATTAATGAAAAGGGAAAAAAATGAAAGGAGTGTAAACAGAAGTAAAATAATAGAACAATAAAATGAACAAGGAACACAACGAGAATCGTCATCATGCTAGAGCCATTGTCTTCCGCTGCCGGATGGAGGCCTCGTCCCAGTGGTGGGATTCAAATATGTGAACAACTGGTTCTCTGTGTGGATGCCGCTTCCGGAAGTCCCATTCTGGGCCTGGGAAACAAAACATTAGCTACCGGTTCTGCCGAAGTGGTGCAAACCGGCTGAACCCCACCACTGCCTCGTCTGCATGTTTCCTCGTCTGCGTGTTTCCAACCCATACGGTCCTAAGCTTTCTTTTGCCAATTGCAATACTTGCTGATGTTGGTCGATCCATGATAACCAAAAGGATGGATGGAGAACAGAGAGCAAGGGGAGGGGAGGTGGAGTCCACCTCCACTGTGGAACTCCCCCATTTAGTTCCCAGGCCAACCGGCACAGCCAGGTCTTCAGGCTCTTGTGGAAGGATTGGGGAGGGAGGGAAATCTTACTTTAAAAAGTAAGATGCTTCAAAGGCAGGTGTTGCAGCAGAGGCTGTTCTGCCTCTTGATAGTCGGAATTGGCTAACAATCCAAAGTAGTCCCTGTTTGCTGGCAAGAATAGGATAGCCTTGTCCTAGCCGGACAAGGCAGTTCATCAGATGGCCTGGACCTATGCCATTAAGGGCTTTAAGGGTAATAACACTGAACTGCATTCGGAAACACATTGGTCGGCAGTGAAGTTTGCAGAGCAGAGGTGTAATATGTGTCATCCTTCGGGGCCCCAAAGACTGCTTTCACTGCCACGCTTTGCATCAGCTGAAGCTTCTGAATGGACTTCAAGGATAGCCCCTTACAGAGTGTGTTGCAGTAGTCCAGGTGAGAAATGACCACAGTTGCATAATTGCAGCTCTCCAAAATGAATATATATTCTTCAAATGTTTGCTTCATAATCCAGGCTGTTGGAAAGGCAGTAATAAACCTATCCCACCACGCATTTTGACTTTTAGGCCTGTTGACGTAGCTGGAACCCAGATTGTAGGGTTACAATGCTCATGTTCTTACCCAGGCAATTTCAATTTCCAGACTTTACAGTATAAAAGGAGATGAACATCGACAATTCAGAGAAATGAATTGCATAAAATATTGACTTTCTTCCCAGCCATTTTTAATAATTAAACATAGCTCAAGAACCAATATTAAAATGCTATACTTGAACTTAGGCATTCCTGATATTAGACTGCTTTTCCAGTTTTGTCTGGAAAAGGGGGGATGTCAATAAAGCAAGATGGCAGAAGTGACATTGTGACACTAGTCCTACCGTTGCGTGGACAAAAAGAGCAGGAGCAATGTGATGCTGTTCCTGCTGCTTTGCCTTTTTTTTTAAAGTCCTGCCTCCCCCCCACCATCCCAAAATCCCCGAGTGGATACTGCTGATCATGACTTTTAAATCACTTAAGAACCATATTATATTAATATCCACGAACAACCTACAGCAATAGATTTAAGAAAGCAGAATATTAAAATCAAAATTTATAATCTAGGCAGGTGTGTCCAAGCATCTGCCTTGAATACAGAGATAGCATTTGATAACCCATCTGAATTACATAATTACGAAAAAGTTTACTCTGTTATATATTGTAGCACCTTAGACATGTAAAGTGCCACAAGAGTCCCATGAGTGTGAGAGGTTACAAATGTGTAAGTAAAACTTTTAGCTCATTATTGTGACCATAGCTGTCTAAAAATTGTAGCCACAATAGAGTGATTGGGGTGCTAAAACAGCCTTTGAAGTTTGCCATTAATTATGATGAGAATGAGGTGTCTTTTTATTAGTTTTACCTTCATATCATGAATAATTTCTCTTTTTTGGAAAAATATCATTGCTTGACCGAAACAAAAAACTCAAAGCAAAATGCATTTAAAATAGATCACTTTATTTCTCTAATATATAAATATGATATATACTTAACCAGGCTAAAAAGTGGACAGTTGTTTACTGAAAACAAAAAAAATTATTAACAATTATTAGTTAAGAACCTCTGTGTTTCTGATATTTCATTGCCAAAGTGCCAATCTTAATGACCCCTTTGCATATAGTTCAAATCTGCTTTGAAGTTTGGGAGATCCTCAGAGCAAATTTGTGTTATTGGAGAGGGGAAAGGGGGAGGACACAATAGAAAGTCTCATCGTGGGAAAAGATGTTTTTAATGCTGATTGGAGTCCTTTTTAAATGCCCCGTTGCTCTTTTGGAATACATGGGAAGGCATTCCTTGAGTGTTCTAAGTGGCTGCAGTGCCCCTTTGATAGGAGCTGACATTTCGGTTTCCATTAAGTAGCGAAATGTCACTGTTGCTCCTTTCAAAACTGCAGAATTTGTTAACCAATAAATACCAGTAAATTAAATAAATTATGCAATCCAATTCTTTGATACAGCTGAATAAATTCAAACATGAAGGAAAATGTATTAATGAAAGCAGATAATTGAATGAGGTTTTCTATTGTTTACACAAAGTCTTTGGTTCCAAGATCTGGCAGGTAGACATCTCCAGCTTTGTCAATATGCTTAATAGTCTCCGCATAGGCATATAGAAAGAATACAGGAGCACAGACTGGTCAAAATCCAAACTACTTATCAGGACCCTGCAAAGACTATCATTGATAAAGGTGTTATTTAAAAAAATCTCCCCCTTTCCCCATAAGTTTTAGTTTCTGGATACTATACTGCAGTATCTCATCAACTCATTAACTTTTCTCAATTTTATTAATATTTTCAGTGATGGATTTCCTAATTCTTTTTACTAAATATAACTTCACAAAAATAAATGGGGACAATGTAACCTGCAAGAGCTAATAGGAATATGAATTTCATTTAACAATAATATTGATATAATCTCTTACTGTGCCCCCAGTTCTCTGTCTTCTTCTAGAAAACTTCTAGTAATGTTTTGTTAAAAACCGGACTTGTATCATTATCTAGGTTATTGAAAACAAACTTCTGAAAACGGCTTCCAACATAAGAAAATCAGACTTGTAATAGATGTGATTTTTTTAAAAAAAATTTCTAGCAACTCTTACAACATCTTGCTTTGATCTCTCTCAAAAAATTCTGGGTATTTAATTACAGACAAACTAGACGTAAACATAAATCCACATCTGACCTATCATTTCTTTCAAAATAACAACAACAACATGAAGCCCAGTTCATGTTAACCTGCTTTATTTTATTTAAAATTTAATTTCAATTTAGATGTCTACCCATCTAATGAAATGGATCTGAGTGGCAATCAGCAGATCACAAAATAAAAAATAACACCTCAATAAATCTATAAAGCGCAGCAAGGTTAAAAAAAATTGTTTTGCCATCATTAGATCCATTCTACAGGCTCTGTCATATATTCCAATCCTTATGCCTGATAGAATAATCAGGACATGAAAGCTATATGAAAGGCCACCAATGTTGGGGCAAATCTAATCTCTGGGGGGATGTTTAGAGAGAAAAGCTCTGTTCCTGGGTCTTTCCAGATAGCATGCGAATAGGGGCCTGTAGCTTGCCTCTTCTGCTGGATCTGATAGGACAGATACAATCAGAGAGAGGCTTTATATGCCTTGCATACTTTTACACTACTATATCTTCTCGTATCCCTAGATTTATGTTCATTTTAAAAAAAATAGGGTTTTTTTTGCTGTTTGGATTTAATAATTCCTTTCACTCCTTGTTTCAATGTTTTAAGCCAGGGTCTTCAAACTTGGCCCTTTTATGACTTGTGGACTTCAACTCCCAGAATTCCTCAGCCAGGCACGTTGGCTGAGGAATTCTGGGAGTTGAAGTCCACAAGTCATAAAAGGGCCAAATTTGAAGA